TGGCAATGATGGTGATGGTGATGGTGGTGGTGGTGATGATGATGATGGAAGAGAAGAAGAAGAAGACAATGATGATGATGATGATGATGATAACAACAGCCCACATTTATATAACACTATAGCATTTGCAAAGCATTTTATAGACATGATCTCATTTGCTCCTTACAAGTGCCTCCCTTGATATTAATAATCAGTGGGTCCTCCTCCTTATCATTAATAGTTAGGGTTTATATAGCATTTTAGGTTTGCAAAGCACTTCACTCAGGTGATCTCATTTGATCTTCACAGAAACTCTGGAAGGTAAGTACTGCTATTATCCCCGTTCTGCAGATGAGGAAACTGCTTAGGAGGACCTAAATGACTTGACCAGGGTCACACAACTAGGAAGTCTCTGCTATGGCATTTGAACTCAGGTCGTGCTGACTCCAAATAGAACATTCTATTTACTAATCACACAACTGCCTCATCAAACAATCCTGCAAGGCAGGCTCTAAGTATGCTATTATCTCCATTTACAGAAGAGGAAACTGAGGCTCAGCGAGCTTACGTATTTTGTCACACAGACAGTGCCATAGGTGAGACCTGAACCCTAGATCTTCCTGACCTTGAGTCTAGCGCTGATGAAACTTGGAGAACACAGAAGAATATGGACTGTTTGTTCTCAGGCAGGTGAGCTGTATTATGGGGGCCAACCCTACTGTTTCTGTAATATTACACGTGCCCGTGTGCTCCTCTAAAGTACATTAGAGGGGCAGGTAGGTGACAAAGTAGATAGAGCATGGGCTCTGGAGTCAGGAAGACCTGAGTTCAAATCCAGCCTCAGACACTTGACGTTTACTACCTGTGTGACCCTGGGTGAGTCGCTTAACCTGGATTGCCTCACCAAAAAACAAAATAAATAAATAAATGAAAATAAAGTGCATTAGAAATAGCATTTTGTTCCAGGAGTAGAGAGGAGGGCCTGGGAGGTTCCTGTAGTCAGGGATGGTGGGATAAGGTAGATAACAAGACGGTGGATATTTTGTGCATGGCTTGAAATAGCTGTCTGCTGAAGCCCCGTGATTCTGGGACCAGTGAACCTCTTGTGTCCTCTCCTGCTCTAATGTCCTCTGATCCTACAATCTGTTCTCTAGCAAGCGGAGGAAGGGACGAGGCTGAGCGGGCAGGAGAGACTTACCAGGATGTGGACGAGCAGTAGCTCGCCTGGATTTCGGCATTTCTCTCGGAGTCTTTCTTCTAGGCACGGGTCCGAGGGCTCTGGCTGAAAGCCACAACAATAGCGATCCAGGCGGTCATGGACCTATAGGAGACAACAATGACCTTTGAAGCCCATCCCCCACATGGTCTGGAGAACAGCTACTCTATTTTTTGATGTTACACAGCGAGCTTTCCCACCTACGCATTCCTCTCCTCCCGGGTCCTCACTACCCCACTGAGGAGACTTCTGTGAATTAGTTTTACAGATTGCTTCTTGCACTGGCAGATACTCTACACAACTGAGCTGGATCTGAGCAGAGAATGATCTGCAAAGCACCTGCGAAGAGACCCAAACCTATTTATCCACTAGTACTGTGACTCATGTGAACCGTACAGTACATGAACAAAAGTGGGACCCCCTAGGAAGAGGATAGTTTGATACCACTCAGAAAGGGGAGAACAGTTTTCCTGATCACCTAGGGGCTTGAGTACAATCCCATACTGTGTTTTCTGTCACGTTAAATAAAACCTGTCCTATATTACCTGTCCTGTTAACCTGAGTACTTGCAGGGGAGCAGAGTGCCTTTTTTAGAAGAACCATGAGCCAAATTCTGATGTTCCCACAAGGAACCATGGGTGAGAGCATAAGCCAAAGAAAGCCTGTGAGGGTTGAGTTGAGGCCTAATTGGCAGCCCGGTTATATTTGTTTAAAGGTTGCTTTTAAGTGGCGCCTATTGCCAATATCTCAGTGAGAGGAAATAGAGGAGGGAGAGAAAAGCATAAAAAAAGATGGTCATAGAGAAAATGGAAAGGTGGGTTGGTAGATGAGACTATGTAAGACCATAGAGGGAATTATCTTTAAGAGGCAAATTGTGGGTCCTTCAGAATATAGAGAAGCCCCTTCTGACTCCCCCAACACAGTTAATGATGCTTGCTGTCACTTTTCACAGATGATGGTGGATTTCATCAGAGTCAGGACTAGGGGTAGGTAAGCTACAGAACTCAATTCAGCAAGCATTTATTAACCACATATTAATTGTACGCCAGACACTGTGCTAAGCACTGAAGAACCAAAGACAATATAACGAAACAGTCCCTGCCCTCAAGGATCACCCAGGGTACCCCACGTGAGACAGGTGAGGCTGAGGCAGCAGCAAAGGAAACCTTGAAATAGCACTTTTCATTAATGCACCCATTTTAATGCCATAAAGTCCCATCTCCACGGATTGTGGTTTTTCATATTCTGGTCATCTGTGGTCAAGCATGAGCCCTCCGTGGACCATAACACAAAGAGGCACTTGAAGGTCAAACCTCATCAAGAGCCCACAAAGGAGAGGCGCCATGATAGAGTGGAGAAAGTATCCAAGATATGGGGGAGGAGTTCATTCTGACACCTCCTGCCTGTGTGACTGGGAAAATGACCTCCCTTCTCTGGACCTCATCTGTAAAATGAGGGGCAGGGGGTTGGAAGAGATGACCTCCAACTTCCCCTCCAGCAGATTTTATTAGGACTATCCCCACTCTCAGTGCTTCACCCTGATGACCAGTGGTCAAGCTGAAGTAATTACATCTGCCCCTGGATGTCCGTGCCATAAGGTAGGAACCTCATGGGCCTAGGAACCCCCATCTTGGAGAGGAAGCTGCTCCTCGTCACACCAGGGACACCCCACATCACACCTGTAGCTAGGCCACAGGGCAACTATGACTATAGCCACATGACCATGCTATAAAATCCAGCACAAAATACCTTCCATACTGGTTAGAAAAACTTGGCTCTTTTCCAGTCAGCTGGAGGCTTATTTCAGAGCTAGAGAGAGCTCATATTGGCCTGTGTTCTACCGAGGAATTCCATTGCTATAGAAGCTGGTGGCCAGTCCCTCATTGCCTTCCCAGGGAGCCTGTGTGTTTCTTCACCAGCCAGCATCCTGGCTCCCTAGACTACAAGGAAACCTCAAGAACCGTTTTCCTTTACAACTCTCTGCCAGTCTGTGGGCAGCTGGGTTAGGCTAGTGGGAAGAGGAGGCAGGACTCATGCTGGTCAATTACAAGGGGGGCCACTGAGAAGGGCTGACCTCCACTCCTGAGCACTCACTGCCATCTGGCAGCAGAGTGAGTCGTCAGAGAGGACGGGCACCTTCACTGCCTCCTCTGCCAGAGGCAGGGAAGAAAGCTTTTCTCTATGCAAACCTGACTGACTTATGGGAGGGTGAAACCTGCCACTTTAGTCTCATTAGCATCTAAAACCAACTGAGCGCACCAGCCCAGAGCCCCCAAAATGAGATAGGCTTTAAGAGGTTTATGATTATTATGTCTGAGCAGCAACAGAGCCTTGTGGATCGAGAGTTGGACGTGGAGGGGGGAAGAGCTGAGTTCCAATCTTGCCTCAGAACCTTGTTAGCTGCTGTTGACCCTTGGGAAGTCCTTTCACTTCTCAGTCTCAGTTTCCTTATCCTTAAAATGGTGATGCTAACAGCCCTACCCTCCCAGGCTTGTTATGAGGAAAATACTGCTGTCATCATGATCATTATTTTATTACACTACAATACCCTATTATATCTCTACATTGGGGGAGGGGATGAGGATTTCTCAAAAGAGGCCGACCTAACGTTCACATGCAAAATTAAACAGGTGAAAAGCATCTATTGTCTAGACCATGATGTGCTGGGGAAAATCCCTTCCCATCCTATGCCACCCCATCCCACAGCATCTGCAAAATGAGGGTGGAGGAGTTGGCCATATGGCCTCTGGGTTCCCTTCTTGCCCGGATTTATAATCCTGCAATCCAAAGTCTGATCTCTCTTGCAGAGCTCAGCCCCTGAAACACTTGTACATATGTACAACACATGTAGCTGTCATGTTACCCTTAAATCTTCTCAAAAAAAATCTCTCCTACCTGAACACGCTTCACTCCTCTGACCAGTCTTCATCCAGAATGGTGTCCAGATTCTTCCCTAGCTTGGCCACACTTCTCTGGGCCCTCAAACTGACCACATATTCCAAATGTAATCTGACCAGGTGAGGGGATGAGGTACTATCACCTTCTTCACCCTCAGCACTGTGTGTCTCCAGGGGCCCAAGACGACACACATAGTCAATCCATCATTGAGCCTGGACTTTCAGCCTTTCCAGTCTAATAGTATATAGCCCTCAAGAGTCCAGCATCCAATAAGATATACAGGCAATGGGGTATAGAAACCTATTCTGCCCTACAGGAAAATAGAAGGGGAAGGGGATAAGAGAAGGGGGGAGATAGAAGGGAGGGCAGATTGGAGGAAGGGGTATTCAGAATGCATACCGTCTAGAGATGAGGGGAGGGGAGAGATGGGGATAAAATTTGGAACTCAAAATCTTGTGGAAGTGAACGTTGAAAACTAAAAATAAATAAATTAATAAGAAAGAGGAATTAAAAAAAAAAGAGTCCAACATCACCACCACACCATAATGAGGCCGGAGACATGGACTGGAATGGGAAAGATGTTCTTTCCTGCAGCCTGAACAACTAACCCTACTTTGAACACTCAGAGTCAGTAGAAATCAGCCAGCGGGTCTAAAATATTCATACTCTGCCTCTACTCGTTGCCTCTTAATTTCATTTTCTAGGAGAATGGGAGAATAATGAGTGTATTTCTCATGGACAAATACTTGTATTCTCTTTGCCTGGTGGCATGGGGAGAAAATAAGTGAGGTTTGGACAGCTGGGAAGAGGGCTGCAGTTTATACAAATACAAGAGGATGAAGAGTTATGTTAAAGCTTCGTAACTTGGAAAGTTCTCTGCAAGCCCAAGAGAGGTGAGCGATTGCAAGTCTTCTCTGTCAGAAGTGGAACTTTGCCAAGTTGTCCCCAGGAAGCAGGTGGCAAGCGCGATTCATCATCGACAGCCAGCGGTTCAGACACAGAAGGCCCCTCCCAAGGACGTGGCGGTCTGCAGGCAAGCCAAGGTCTCACTGTAGCTGGCTGCAGCTGAAGGCCTACCCCTCCTGGCGGCCACCTGCGGGCCACCGCCTTCCTCAGGCCCTGCTGCCACAGACACCAACCTCCACTGGCTGTGTTCATTGTTCCTCCGCCATATTCCCTGTCTTGCTTTGGTGGGAGCCTTAGATGTTTGGTCCAGGTCATCCTTCATCGTACAGAATTTCTCTATTTCCCTGATACATAGCAGACCCGCTTTATTTGTCTCCTAGGAGATTTCCTCTCCCTTTCTCCTTCTCTCCTTTCTCTCTTTTCCCTCCTTCTTTTGCTCCTTCTTTCCTTCCCTCCTTTCTTTCCTCCTTCTTTCCTTCCTTTCTTCCTCCCTCCTTTCTTTTACTCTTCCTTTCTTTCTCTTTCTTTTATTCTTGTCTGTTTCTGTGACTTTCTGTTGCTGTCTCTCTTCACTCTTTCT